CTACCTTTGCTGCTGTGAGCCAACCCATTCACGGTGACTTGCTACTGAGCTCGGAGGCACTAACAGCTTCCAGTATCCTCTCGATTCGGTCAAAACCCGCCTGCAAGCGTATGCCAGTCTTCCCTATTCACTCGTAGAATACGCCTGACTCTAAACAGTTACAAATTCAACTCTTTTGCCGACTGCGTCCGCCATACCTACAAAACCGAGGGTTTCCACGGTTTCTACCGTGGTAAGCCGGTTGTTTCTCCGCGTAGTATCGAATGTATTCTAATACACGCGTCATAGGTGTTTGGTCTCCTCTCGCAAGCATAACGCTTGTTCGTACGGTGTCCTTCTCCATATACCAGCGCTCCAAGTATGCGCTTGACAACTGGATTTACCAGACTACTGGGAGTTCGCCACTCGTAATCGCGAATACCAAAGATGCATGGCCCACATTCTCAACAGTCGCCTGCTTCGGGCTGGCAGGTGTGAATGCGGGCGCAGCTATTACAGTCATTGCATGTATGCAGAAGGGGTTTCCATTTGCGGGCGAAACCGACTAAACATTCTCTAGGTCCGTTCGAGCTGACGAAACTAAGCGCACAAATTTCAGTGCTTATGGCCGAGCGTAACGATGGCGGAGGCAAAAACGAAGCGATACGGAAGAGTTACCAGAATTTAGGAACCTGGAAGACGGCACAAAATTTGGTCAGGCATCGGGGTTGGGGTGGCCTGTATTCTGGCTTTCATTTGCATTTACGTGGGTAAACCAAAGCATCAAGGCAGAGAGAAAGGTGTAGAAAGCTGACATTGCATAGTTCGGGATTCGATAGGCACCGGCATCTACTTCATTACATATGAGAGCGTGAAACAGGTTTTGGCAAAAGCACGCGGAACATCGCCCACACATCCGTTGGCAGTTGTCATAGCTGGTGGCCTTTGTGGGCTGGTGAGTTGGGCATGTGTAAGTACGCCTAGCAAGGGAGGAAAGGCATACCTAACCGTTTTTTAGATATTCCCCATCGATACAGCCAAGAGCATCTATCAGCGCAACTGCCTTGTTGGAGGAAAAGACAAGGCCACTCGTCCGAAGATTCAATTTTTCAACCGTCGGATGTATCGAGGTGAGAATAGGTCATTGGGATTTTTCAGATTCACTACTGACAAACTCTAGGCCTGGGTGTATCAATGTCTCGCTCCTGCATTGTCAACGCAATTTTCTTTACTGTATTCGAGTTCACAAAGAAGCGCATTAACAGTATGACTTACGACGACGAGCTTCTGCGCGCCAATGGCGTATAAATGGGAATCCCTTATTGTGTCAACATAGGGCATCCAATAGGCGCATAACATGCTTAGCTGAGAATTGTTACACAGGTTATTGTGTGTTTTGGATATGTTATCATGGGCACATCAACCAATCAAGTCAAATTCAGACAAACTCTGCAAGATATCAATCTACGTAAAAAAAACAGGGTATCTGGTGATTGTACTACCGTCCACTCAGCTCTCACCTTTACCAGTTCCATAACAAACAGGAAGCTATCGCACAACTTACTTGGGCATTTACTACCATTCTCTGCTTTAGAATGTCCCTGTAATCGATGAGATTGGACTACTATGCCACTCGGGGACGAATCATCAATACTAGCTTGAGCAAGCCTAGATGCCAAATCCTGGACATATGTAATGGCGTTAGAAACACAGTTGAAGACCTCATTGAAATGGGGTAACGGCAGAGAGGAAATTTGTACGATGCGTTGACGAAGAAGAGCAGTTAGGCGGATTTTGTGAAATAAAGAAAGTGGGCATAAGCTAACACACGGGGGTATAGTGAGTCACATGCCGGTGCGTGCAATAGACGAACGCTAAGAATGGCAGACAGAACCCACCCCCAAAGGTGAGTGAGTGGTTGGCCCCGAATTGAACAACACAACTTGACTTCACTGCTGCGCTAGCAAGGTTGTTGGAGGATAGAGAAGCCTCTAAAGACATGGCATTTCGTTGCCCGTTGTCATCACCTAGGGTATCACGGAGAGACTCCCGACATTGCGCTTTTCGAAGTATTCATTGACCTGCCGACCTAACATATCTCATGACGCCGTCTTTGTTTCTTCCGGGGAGGGCCCGTGTGCAAAACCGTGGTCACGGAGAGGTCGTGACTATTTCTACCCCAGCAATGGGGATATGCCCGCTGATGAATCCGTTGTACAACCCCGATAAAGGCAAATGTCGAAGAAAGGAAGAGAAAGAAGACGCTTAGTCGAAAAGACCGAAGCCCATGTCCTCGTCGGACTCCTCCTTCTCTGTTGGTGTGTTAGTCGGATCATCTGCCATAGCCATTGTGTGTGGGCCAACGTACCCTCTTCCTTCTTCTCCTCGGCTGCTGGTGCGGCGTCACCGGCACCGCCAGCGGCGGCAGCACCACCAGCGGCAGCAGGGGCAGCAGCGCCGCCACCTGAGCCAACGTTCAGGAGCAGGTCCTTGACATCCTTGCCCTCAAGAGCCTATTCACACATCAGAAATTTGTCTTGTAACGCAGCATTGCCGTGAATGCGCACCTTGGCGAAAAGGGAGGTCCAGATGGGCTCGACGTCCTCGACCTTTGCGGCCTTGATAAGAGACTGGAGCTTGTCGGCCTGTTCAAATTAGCCATGGTGCCCGGAAATTGCACAGATGCACCTCGGGAGTCGTACAGTGATGTCGACACCGTCATCAGCGAGGATGAGAGCGGCGTAGGAGGAGGCGAGCTCGGCGGTAGACATTGCGACGGTTGTGATCGTGAGATTGGTCGTGAGGTCGAGGTGGTTGTAGTTTCGAGACTGCTGAATTCGTTTGATGGTGTGGAAGGCGCTAGTGGTGTCCTTCGCTTAGCTCGGTCTAGCCTGTTTTAGAATGGAGGCTGACTTTGCCCCTCGGTGACGTTCCAAGCCCTTTCCCCGCTCTCATGCTGCATCTTGGCTTCCCGCCCGGCTACGTGCAAGTTCGCATATTGCTGCACTCCAGGCCCTCACCAACCACCGAGTTAGGCTCAACCCCACCTCAAGACGATCCGGCCATCGCTGCATAATTCTTGTGGACCACCATGACCGACTCTCCACTGCCGCGGATTCCGCTCGACCCGAAAGAGCAGCCTATTCTCGACAGACTGCAATCCATCCGGACAGAGCTCGAGTTGCTGAAGCGCGACCGATCGACTTACGTCAAGAGCCAGGATGTCTTGAAGCTGTACGATCAGGTTATCGAGCAGGTCATAGTTTTGAACGAGATTCGCGAAACGAAGCGTCTTGAGCAGAACAAAGGTATGTCACGTTGCCACCTGCCGAATGTAGCCGCAAATCCGCTGATATCTTCTTGTAGTTGACTACATGCTTGATGATTGTTTTCAGCTCATCTCACTTGCATATCTGACCATCGGAAAGAACCATGAGCCACCAGCAGTGTATGCATCTAACCACTGTTTACTTTGCGTATACTGACCTCTCCGTAGATACTCATACGTCTCAACAATCAAAGTAGGACAAGATATCCAGTACATATAGTCCTAATTCCAAGTTCTAACAAATTTTAGCGCCTCCTGGATCACCTCAAGGAAGCTACATTCTATTCGCAAAAGGACCTTGAAGCACTCGACAAGAATTTGAAGGACTGTCGAGACTATGTCGAGCGAGGCAAAGATCAGTATAGCCCCCACCTTCTCACTCTTCTCGACGCTCGTATCAAGGTGTGCGAGGAGATTCTAGCCGAACTGAACCTCAACTTATCCGAGCTCACCCCCGAGCTGATACCAAAATGGGAGAAGCTGGTGTCAATATTAAGATCAACTTGCGGTTGCAACACACGATCGAAGGTGGGTTGTCTTTGTAAGGCACTCCGCGTATATGCTCACTGAGTCTTAGTTTCCTCATGATGAAATTGAAGAGTACGAGCAGGAATTGATCAAGCTAAACGAAGAACTCAAAGAATACGGAATTCATGCATATGAGACCACCGGTTCAACCGAAGAGAAGCTAGCCGAGATGGTTGATAAAATGCAACTCACCCAAGAAAATCCCGAGCCGGCACCAGAAGCAGAAACTCTCATTGGCACACTGTTGAGGCGAAACTTACTTTGGCTTGCGCTAATCAAGCAAAAGTGCGTGCCTTCCTGTTCCTTTCCAGTCGTTAGCTAATACATGTATAGGCAAGGACGCATAGCACCGGCCTTCAAAGATACTTATGACAAGCTCCTCACCATCCGAAACAAGCTTGAAAAGCTTACGCTTACGCAAGCATGGTCACTCCGTGAGACAGATCTTTGGGACTTTCAGCGTCAGCTTGACCGCATAGATGAAGCACGGGTAGATGGCAACTTCATTGATGCACTAGGGCGCCCATCTGAGATCTACGAGCAAAGAGTATGTGTCACCTGTACTATGAGAGCTTGTAGGCTAACATACCAAGACACTACTGTACCTCCTACGGAAGAATTATGCGCTCATCTACCAGTTGCTCTTAACATCCGAGCCTGTCTCTGAAGCATTGTTGCCAATATACAACCAACTGACAACTCTCCGAAAATGTCTTCTCGAAGTGAAGAAATTGGGAGGCGTATCATCACCAAGAGAATTGTACCCGTATAGCATGAAGGTTTGTGTTTCATAATGATACTTCAGTCTGCGTACTAATGTAGGAATAGTTGAATTCAATCGACAATATGCGTGTAGACGGTAAATTCATGGTGGGCGACGAGATACCTGATGGTCAAGGCCGCGTAACACAGCTTCTGGAAGAATGTTTCGAGCTCGCTTATGACCTAAGGAACGACGCCGAAGACGAAAGCTCTGCAGACGCTACACCGTCAAGCGAAAAACCAGAGCCTCTTAGCACTTAATTACTATCTTTCTTCCTTGCACGCAATCTCCAAGGCTACCACTTTCAATATAATCACCTTGTCTACTTCGGCACGTACACCAGCTGGGGAAGGGCTCTGCACCGGAGACGCTTGTTCTTTGGACCCCTGTACTTTACTATCTTTAATACGGCTCAATCATTCTCAACTGCTCGATTTCATCTTCAAGTGGCGTTGGAGGTGGCATATCCGCATCCTTAAATGTTAGGTGGCTGCCATACGATATGCCTAGATCTATTAGCGTCTTTTCAATTTTGATTTGGAAGTTTGTTTTCTTGTCGCTTACAGAGCTCTTCGCCTGCAAGAATGTCTCTCAAAGCTCGGTATATTATAATTTTGCGACAGAGATCTCGCATCCATCCCACATTCTGCTCCTGGGTCGAATGGTTGAACATGCTGCCTAGTCCAAAGACGACTGCTTGCGAAACCTGGTGATTGCCGTGCGCATCTGTTTGGGGCCAATTGCTGGACGGAGTTAGGTCTATATACTTGCAGTCAACTATGGACGTGCCTCTCTAGAGTTGCCGCCGAAGTCATCTAGGGGCTTGTGACATGGGGAAATTAAGTCTAAGTGTCTTCGAAACCAATGCACAGATTGAGTTATGAAGCAAGCATGTACAGGAATCGAAGAGTAGAGATACCTACTAGGTATAGTGATAAAGGCAAGTGTTCTCTATATGCTTCTTATTCTCGTCTATTCCCAATATCAAGACTGGACAAATGTCTATGATGGTCTGTGCAGGAATGTCTTTTGTTGCAAACACACCCCGTCCTGCAAGTTCCCATCAGCATGATTGAACACAAAGTCTATGATGGGACGAAACACATAACTTTTGGGGTGTCAGTCTTGATGACCAGATGTGGACATCGTTGAAGCTGGATATCTTCTTGACCGGACGCAACACCCATACTTTCCAGTAATTTTTCTTTTTGCGTTGGTAACACCAAAGACAAAAACCCAGTAAAAACAAGTAATAAGCACAACAGCGCGAAGCGAAACTCTCGGCCCAACAAGTTGATTTCTTATGGCTCGAGCACATGAGTTCACGATATCGGTTAAATTTTATCACCGAGCTAAGTCCGCGCCGGCCCGATATTTTAGATGCTCTCTGATGATGCGCTTGCCCCACTTGAGCGTGAGCCTGGCCTTTTGTCACAAGCTCAGTGACCTTGCAACACAACGGCCATCGACATGGCTCAACAACGAGGCCCTGCGATGGGAGACTCTCTCAAGACAGCGCACTCGGTGAGCCTGAAGGTACTACGGTGCGTATCGCCCAGGCAAATGCGGCTCAATAACAATCGGTCCTCGTGGTATCACTGAATGGCCAAAGTCTATATGCGCTTTGTCACCGCTGTTCAAGAGAGGTAGCAGTCACTGACGGTATCAGACTATCTCGACCGATGCTTGCTACACAGCATTCACTTCCAAACTCGAAAGATCTGGGTATATCGCCACATGCCTCGCTCGCCTACCCTTCTCAGCGAAATACCAACGATGCATTCATTCTCAGCCCTGCACTGAACCTCCCTGAGGCGTTTGGCAGTGCCTATGTTGGCGAAACATTCTCCTGTACACTATGTGCAAACAACGAGCTCGATCCATCAGACAGTACAAAAGCAATTAGCGGCGTAAGGATACAAGGGGACATGCAAACGCCTTCAAACCCTACTGGCTCACCACTGGACCTGACAGGCACACCAGACGAAGACGCCAATACTTCTCCTGGACCAGGCGAGTCGCTACAGCGAATCTTAAGATTCGAGCTGAAGGAGGAGGGAAATCATGTATTGGCAGTGACGGTCACATATACTGAAACAGCTTTAGGAGAGGGAAAAGCAGCCAGTGGAAGAGTGCGGACTTTCCGCAAATTGTATCAGTTTGTGGCCCAGCAGTTGCTTAGTGTCAGGACGAAGGCTGGGGAGATGAGCCCGAAGAATGGATCACGCCGGTATCTGCTGGAGGCGCAACTGGAAAACATGGGGGAAGCGGCAGTCTGTTTAGAGGTTTGTTCTCCCAGTTCCGAGTGACGAGTCAGATCTACGCCACCTTTTGCCCGATACGCTCGCGGGCGCAGCGACTCAAGCACAAGCTCGATCGTGATCATGAACCGCCATTCCGCAACACATGTGGATCCCGGCGCTATGACAATAGCCTACCACAACCACGATTCCCCGGTATATGCCAAACCTGTACTGATTCTGAATAGGCTGTCGACGTCAATCCGAAACTGCCTCTAAAGTCAACATCGCTAAATTGGGATATGCAAGCCTCAGGATTCAATGCGCCAATGCTGAGTCCTCGCGATGTTGTACAAGTGGCTTTCTTGCTGACGTACAAACCCGGTGAAGACGAGGAAGTCGAAGGCTCCAAGACTGAAGACGATAAACGAGTCTTGGGCCAACTAGCGATTCAATGGAGAAGCGCGCTTGGCGATAGGGGCTCTCTCAGTACAGGATGGCTGACGGCTCGTCGCTGAGGATACTACTTGACAACAAGGTTTGCAGGACCCACTCCTAGATGGCCAAGAGTGGTAGAAATGGTCTTGTAATGACGGGATGACACTCGTGCCTACGGTTTATGAGGGGCTGATCTTGGCTATTGGGCCTGAATTGTTTGTGTGTGTGGATGACGCCTAAATGAAGCCAGTCGGAAGACACTCCGAAAAGGTGTAGGGTGTGATTGGATGATTACTGTCGGCCACGATTGGTCACTGAAAAGCAAACAACAGCGCCGCAAGCCATGTACATGGTGTATGTTGTGCGCGTGTGGGTGCCGTCAGCTCCACGGAGAACGTTTTTCAAGCAAGGTAGAGAGAGATTGGGGGGGTGAGAGATTGCGTGGTGGGCGCATAGGCATGTATGTATACATGTGACGAGGTAATTTGTAGAAGGGTGTGTTTGTGGTGTGGCTAGCTGCTTCCCAATCGAGGTAGCCGGGATGTGGAGGAGTGTCACTTGGATCGATCTGCAAGCGAAGCGAGTCAAAAGCATGTACGTTTGAACTCAGCCACCTCCGAGAAACCCGAACGCACGTGGAAGCGCGAAATCTATTCTCCTCGAGAAAGCAATATAGGGCTATTGCGTCAATGACTAGCGCGAGGCGTCGTCGTGTGGAGAACCGGCTTCGAGGGGAAAGGATATGTGGCGCTGATCTTCGCAGGGCGTCATCAGCCCGGCAGGCAGGAACAGGGTACCCCAGACGGTGTTCGGATCCTGGGAAAGATAAGAGACGCGGCCAATGTCAGGAATCACGAACTGGCGGAGGGATCCAAGACGGGCGAAGGATTGACTGTGCTTCACGAAGACGAGGGCCCGCACATGTATGACCTTGAATGTTTGATTATGTCTCGGCTGATAAGATGGAAGAGGGCGAAGAGGCTGGGCAGGCAGGGAGGCGGAGGAAGAGTGGGTGGTAGAGCTCGCTTATGTGGAAAGCTATGGGCCGACTACTTTTTGGGGGCGTTGCAGTCTTCAGACTTAAGAGCGGCATTGGGTGCGCCCTGGCCAATTTAGAACGTCGACTCAAGATCGACAAGAACCAGTAAGATCGACGGGTCGAACTGGTTTGATCATGTACGCAGTTGGATAGTATGGGGGGCACAGGCGTATAGGTATGTATGTGTGTACATTTGGAAGGATTGGCAAGGAGGCAGAGGCAGACAGGCAAGAGCCTAAATTAGCCTAGGACCATGGGGGTTGGAAGGGCAACAGCAATGGCAGCGGGATAGATGGCCGGGACACGGGATTCCAGACGGCTCAGGCACGCCTTGTCGGTGTGCAGATAAGATGCAGAGCGGGAGAGGGGGATTTTGTGTACATGTATGTATGTACATATGCACAAGTGGGTGTGTATGTAAGTACACAGTAGGACAGCAACAGGGCGGGCGTGTGAGATGTGCGGCTGGTTGCAGCTGGCAGTGGGGCAGCATGTTTTCTTTGTCTGGGACGTTGGACAGGTTGCCAGGTGGTGTAGCGCATGGCAGCGAACCATGGACGTGGCCAAAGTCGGCATGCCGGGCCCTCCCCTATTGCTATTTGCTACTGTCAGGCCGTGGCGGCGGTACGGTTCAGGTAATTGAGGTGAAACGGAAAGGCAGATTGCAAGCACACCATCACGACGGTATGGTGGACGCAGACGCAGACGCAGACGCAGGTCGTATATCCTAATGACAGACAGCCCTGACGGTCGCGCGCGCCGACTCGACGGCCCCTGAACAGACAGCGTTGCACCGGGAATGGCAAGGCAGCGGCAGGCGCAAATAGGCCAAACCAGCCAATAGCAGGTCCAGGGTCGCGGTCGCGGCTGCTGGCTGCTCTCAAGGCGGGAAGGGACCCAGACTGTGCCTTCCCCTTCGGTGTGGGCCCCCCCCCTGGTCGTGCCTTCCGAGGACAGGGTCTTGCAGCGCTGCACACTGCACAGGGGAGAGGCCGGCACACCAACGCCGTGCCTGTGCACTGTTATGTATCGTCACGGCCGGGCGGTGCAACACACACATACACACACACATGCCCCTCTCAGAATCAAAAGTATAATCCACCACCACCACCTTCAAGCCCGCGGCTGGCGGATGGCGGATGGCGGCAGTACCTTGCATGGCCCAGCTGCTGGCGTCGACTGCCGCGGCGGCCACTCGACCATTGCGTGCATGCACACACGAGGTGCAGCAGTCCGGCCTGGCTGGGCCAAGCGCCGACACATGTTGACCGCGGGAGCTGTCAAGCGCTAACCAGCCTGCCCTCCTCATGCCATGGTGATAAGAGCGCAAGACGGGAAGAGGCCCTGCGATGACGGTAAATGGGGACTAGCTGCTGTCTCCATGTAACTGGGGCACTTGGGCCCGCGCCTGTCCTTTTCAATGGCTTGTGACCAGGCGCGCTGTGCATTGAACCCTTCTCCACCGGCCCTCTCCTCATTCACTCTTTTGTGCCCGCAGCAACCACACGCTGCCCGGCCTCACAAAACACCGCCCGCCCACCCCTACAAACCCTCTGCTGCCCCTGCCACTGCCCCTCACCGCACTTCCCACCCTGCAACCCTCATTGCCTTGCCTGCCACGTCTGCCCAGCCAAGTTAAATCCTCTCGTTGGGCTCCCCCTTCGGCGCCGCTCCATCTGCATTTGACACTTACTGTCGCACCACTCGTCGCCTCCATCGCCCATAACTACCCACCACCCGCTCACCGCAAACACCCATTGGACCTGGCGTCCAATCCCCAAATGACATAGACGACCAAAAGGCGACCCAACGCCCGACACGCACGCCCCCCGGCTGCCCAGTCCAGTCCAACCCACCTTCTTTCGTCGACGAGTCTTTCTTGGATATCCTATGCCCACTTACCATCATGGCGCCTGCTCCCTCGTCTTCTTCCGCCTCGCCTGACCAGTCACCGCCCCCGCTCGCCGACTACTTCTTCATCTCCGGCATCGAGTCATCGCAGGTTTACGATGAGCGCACCCAGAATAATGTCATAGTCACTTCCCCACTAGCCCAGCCGCCCGTCGATGAGACAATCGAAGAGGACCGCGCCCTCGAGACGGATGCCATACGCCCAACCTCACAGGACGGCCTGTCCCATCGCGATAGGGGGCGGTCAAGGTCGCGGTCACGCTCTGCAAATCGCCTCAGCGAAAACCGCCAGTCAGTCAGCACAATCATTGGACCAGACGCAAAGCCGACGGCGAGCAACCGGAGCAGCGCCACCATCAAGGGCGTGCAGCTTGGCGGCTCTGGTCTAAGCGACCAGGAATTCGACATTGCCCTTCGCAAATTTGCATCTGAGCGAGATTCATTTCTCGAGGAGATACAGTTCACTGCTGGTGTGGCACAACAGTCTCGCTCAACCCCCACTAGGCCGCGCCCGCGACCTCAGCGCGTTTCACAAGCCAACCCCGAAGATGGTGTCGGTAATCTTCGTTCCGGGGTTGGCAGCATCCGACGGCGCATATCCACTATGCAAAGCAGCCTGAAGAGACAGCCGTCGACTGCAAGACAAGGTAAGTTGACATCATACTATGCATCCAAAAGGTCATGCCTGCCTATACAGCTACCTTTCGGCATGATATGATTTTGCTTTTTTGCTTTTTTTCTATCGACGATTGCTGACATGCACGTAGCTTCGATCCGAACCTCCAAACGCATGTCCGGGTACAATTCGGTAATACCGGCACCACAGCCTTTCGCGCCAGACCCGGATATGCATCCTCTTCTCCGTCGCTACGAGCCAGTCCTACTGGATCGTTATCCGCCAAGGAACATGGTCGAGGAACTCAAGAGGCGCAACCCCTTTCCGGATTATGTACCTATGTTTGCTTTTCCAAATGATGTTAGTGTCGTCTCCTCGGACGAGAGACCAAAGAGCCAATGGCATGGATTTGCCATGACCAACGGGGATGGATCAAAGCTTTACGGCATTTGCCTTATTGTCTGGTTGCCCTTGAATGCCACAGCTGCTGAAGGCCTTGAGCGTCAATGCGAAGAATGGCGAAACCTGCACATGAATCCTGAAGAACGGGAACTGGCGAGCAGCCTGGGCGAGCGTCTTGCACTAGAGCGTGCCAAGTTGTCTCAGCTCCTAACCAAGCTCCCCTCGGTAGCTCCCGATTCTGAAGAACGCGAGAATCTCGACGATGAGATTGGGGCAGTGGAAGAAAAAATTCAGCTCATGACGGACCTGCTCCGTCCGGTACGACATGGTGCAGCCTCCAAGATTGAGGGTCTCACGGATGGAGAGACTGGCCTGTGGATCCCACGCGCCTATGGTGTATTGGGACGAGACGCGAGCCTCACGCCATTCTGGAAAGAGTGGTTAAAGGCAGTCACCGTACCTATGACTACTGGTGCTGTTCTTCGTGTGCCACCAAGCTCACCGCGAGTAGGCATGTGGCAACCGCTCGAACGGTACGTGGTCAATCTATGTGCAGAGGCACTTAGCCCGATTACCTCTGTTACACAGGTCGAATTAGCTGTTCGGGAGCTTCGAATGTATGCTCGGAAAGAAGCCGTCAACGAGTTGCCGGGATCGCGCAACATTGACATTTACGCCCTCTTCCGCTGCATGTCTATCCCAAACATCATCACTCTGTTCGAATTCGTTCTCTCTGAGGCTAGGATCATCCTTCTCTCTTCTCACACCGCCATGCTCCATCTTGCAAGCATGGCAATCACCAACCTACTGTATCCATTCCAATGGACCGGCGTCTTCATCCCCGTTCTGCCGTCTCGTCTCGTCCAGACTATCGAGGCGCCTTGTCCTTACATTGTTGGAATCGAACGTCGTTACGAGCCCGCTGATTACCCAGAAGACGATTATGTATTGGTTGATTTAGATGCCGACTCGATAGTATCCAATGGGCCTCCGCCGCCAGCACTTCCTCGCCAACAGCGACGCAAGCTCATGTCCTTGCTCCAGCAGTCCGCCCCGCATCATACGCAATACGGCGTGCCCACTGGCCCACCTGCGTATGCGATCGAAGCATTCCCATTCGACACATTCGCATCTGAAAACCCTGGGGTTTTTTCGCATAGGGCACAGCCATTGACGATACAGAATTACGTTGGGTTGAACTCGACCTCATTCGGCACAGTTCTTGGGCCACCTAGCTCCAAGCTCCTAATCTACAACGCCTTTTTACAATCAAGTGCTTTGAGTCGCGGAAACGACAGGCCATCAACAGCAACAACCATAAAGTCACACCACTCTCCACCTTCACCCAAGGTCTCTCCTGTTTCTACGGTATTTCCGCCCATGCCAGGCACGCCTATATCGCGCAGCGATTCTGGGTATGCTCTTCAGGCTAACCTTCGGGAGAAGAGATCCGCGCATTTCGACTCCTCAAGTCGGCGAAGTTCATCAGTAAGTTTGGTTCTCTTTATTTTGATCGCCCATGGACTAACGTAGCTAGTTTGGCTTTGAGCGTGTGCCGCCACTTCGGCGCCCTTCTCAGCCGTTCACCGGCCATACTCCCAGTGCATCCACGTCATCCCTGAGTCAAGAATACAAAGCGGCTGGCTCTTCGTATGCGCCGTCAGTGTATGCCCAGTCAACGCTAGCTGCATCAACCATCATGCCTGGTATGGCAGTGCAGCAGGTTCGCAATACCTCAACCACGCAATGGCAGGAGGGACATTGTTTGCAGTGGAGACCCAACGAAGATCGTGCTGTTTGTTCCATCTGCGAAGAAAAATCAGACGATGGTCTATATCGCTGTTCTGGTAAGTTTTGCATGCAAGCAAATTCCACGTGTTTTTTTAACTGACCTTGTATAGGTTGCAGCACGTATGCCCATAACCGATGTGTGGAATCTATCTGCATCGTATGTCCTACGGCGTTTCGTCCAGATCAGGTCCGAGCATCGTTTGTACGATGCTTCGCCAGCCTATTTTACACTTATCGACGTTACCTGGTTCCGGCTACCGGAGAGCGTAAGAAATCTGGCATGCATTATGAATTCAAAATGGATGAGTTCGTAAAGAGCTTGCCAGTGGAAAACGTGCAGTACATTACTGCACTCCAGCAAACACAAGGTTTGTAACTTTAACCCCCCTTTTGACAAAAATGTCTAACCATGCACTAGCTTTCAACGAATTCATCCATGAGCGCGAGAGCAAATCAGCTGATGACCCTACCATCAAACTCTTCGATGAGGTTATTCTAGCGAAGCGCAACCGCGGAAAATCGTCGTTCTTCTACAAATCGAAGGTGGACTTTTTGTCAGATACAACAAACCACCTTTGGCATACTGCCTCGGCAACACCGCCAAATTCCCGCTTTCCAGGCGATTATCGTTCTGTCGTCAGTCGGAGTAAGTTATATCCATGCCCTCACTCAAAGCTTGCTAACAAATGTCGTAGTCCCTGCAAAACTTGATCCCACGCTGATGAAAGAACCGCGCGTCATCCAAGGCGTACCTCGCATACCTCAGGCCAAAGCTCGTCGCAAGCCTATACCATCTATGCTTGGACCAGGCAGCAATGATCCTCCACAGATACATATCTCATGATCTACATTTAAGCTTCCCGCTCTCTATAACGACGAACCCCGACCTCCATGCCTCCTCCTGTCTCGTCGTACTCTTACCTTTTTGCCTTATTATTGTGTTTTACATACCTAGCGACGGAGTTTGTGGCGCATTACAGCATCATTGGTAGGGCAATTTAATAGTCCACTAACCGGTGCTTGCCCCTCAGATTGGATATCTGACGGAACAACTAAACTCTGATCTTCGGAATCATACTGCATTACATGGGATAGATTAGCATGCCTGCACATGGATCGTTATTGGATCCTCTGCCCGTTCTGGTATTTTGTCAGCTGTGGAGTTCTGAATAAAATAAGGCTCCGTATTGCGGATACATCGTTATAATAGCTTTTTTTGGTCACTAGTCGCCCCAGGTTGGCGCCTCCGGTTCGGGACTGGCGAGCTTCTTTCTTTGTACATTATTGTTTCTGAAGTATACGATAAGAAAATAGCTGGCGGAAGATGTGTGGCGCCTCGAGAGTGCCTTGTGTATCACATAATATCGAACCTGAATCATCATTCTCCCCTTACCTCGTTGACATCTAGACCAGTCGAGAGAGCAGAATGCACGTCGCCTCTGAGCTATGGCCTCGCGGCATTCGGTCAGCACATCCAATCAGCGCTTGTTTCAAAACTTTGTTCCTGACAAGGCCCGTTAGCGTGGACTTTAAATAGATAAGCGTCCAGTTATCGTCTTGGCAGACGCGCGGTGAGACGAGCCCCTTGGGGACTGCTCTTTGATGACCTTCTCGACGCGCCTCCTGCTTTCCTCCTTCACCGACACTCTTTGTTGTACATTTCGTTCGTTTTTGGATCGCTCGCTCATCCTCACTCGTTAGGCTGCACTATTGTTAATAAAAAAAATAATCCAACCTTCGACACCAGCAATCCTAAAACAGTCAATAAATATGCTCGGACGCACCGTTTTTGCCGCGACTCTTTTCGCGCTTGCTCAATCCGCTGCTACTGCGCCCCCTGCATGTCTTCTTGCGGCTGCCGGCCAATACAATAACCCAGCCACCCTCAAGATGGTATGCGAATCCAAGGACATGAAGTCCTTGGTTGCCACGATTTGTCCCAACGATGTGGACGCTGCAGTGGCCGCGATTGGAGCTATCTGCAATGGTCAGGGTGCAAATGCTGGTAAGTACACTGCTATCTCGCGTTGTAGTCGGTGTGTAGAAAGGACAGAAGAGGAACTGGGACGGCATCAAGATCGACATACTAATACTGTTATGCAGCCTCCAACGTACCTTTGGCGACCGCCCCCCTGACTACGGGCTCCTCCCCTCAGCCTACTGGCACCATTGAAGCCTCTACTTTGGTCCCTCTGTACCCCACCGGCTCTGGCGGTCACAACAGCGGAAATGGCACCGCTCCCATGTCGACTGGCGGTCTCACCAGCACAAATGGTACTGCCACTTCCACTTCCACTTCCAGCGCGACTGGCACTCCCAAGCCTGTTACCAGCACCACTGGCTCTGCTAGTGTTCCCAACCCCAGCGGCGCCGCTGGCAAGGTCGATCTCGGATTCGCAGCTGTCTTCGCCGGATTCATGGTTGCTGTTTTGTAAATTGGCCGCGGAACGGAGTGGTGAAAAATAGTTTTGTGAAGTTGCGGCGATGTATTAGGAATGATGTTGGGTAGTTCGTCGTACATAATTAGAAACTATTTTGAATAAACATTGAACAAAACGAAACATAAAGAACAAAAGAAATGCATCACCCACCCAACCAGGAAAAGCATGCACAACTCGATGCTAATGTCGTGTTACATGTCGATTCTTTTACTTTCTCACAGCAATACATTTGTAGAATGCCATCCAATCGTGTTATTTCCCATCTAGCTCGACCCAACATACCCAATTTTTTCTTTTCTCCGCATACACCCCCTTCTTCCCCAGTCGGAAATTGCTGGAGAATACTAACCCGCCTCTTGGCACGAAACCTGAGGCAAAACCTACCGCAGCCTCCCGACTTTATCGCGAAACAGCCCGGTGTACTCTCATCCCTTGGCGCGCGCCAGGTACAGCATCCTGACTATCGACGCCCCACACACACACACACTCAACGCCTAACCCGACTACTAAAACCAAAGCCCATACCCAGGAGTAAAACAAAAAACGCGGGGCTTAGTCTACCCGACCCGCCATCTCCACATCAACAATAGTCCAAAAAGTCTAGACGCGTCCGCGGAGCCTAAGGTGTAGTAAGAAAAGCTGAGTCGCGCCATGTGGCGCATACATACATACATGTCTCGCATCGAGGAACTACCAAGTCCACCCATCTCCCCTTGTTTTCCTCGGAAACGCGCTTTTCGTCCCAGCAGTTGCGCTTCTTCTAGACGCCGAAATGGGGTTTAAGCGAGGAATGTTGTAGTACGAGGTTTTGGTGTGCGCAGGGAAAGGGGGGAGGGGGGGGGATGTAGCTAACTTACCAACTGGTAGCTTTCGAATCTATAAGACGGAAAAGGCAGCACAACCCACCTGGCGCATACGACTCTATTAGTTGGTGTTTCAAAAAGCTGGGTTTAAGCG